GAGAAAGTCTGGTGGCTGAAAGATTAATAAATGTCATGGTGTTTAGTGTATTGCCCTAAAAAAATTGTCACTTTATCAAATTTTGCTCTGAAAATGGCGGGGCGGGTGGGTGGCTGCACTTCCATAAGGTGTGTTAATACAGTGTACTGTAGAATACTTTATTTAAAGTGCCTGTGCAATGCCCACCCTCACGTTTCCCATTTTAGATCTGTGTCCCACTGAAATGGGCAGTTATTGATTTTTTTGCTGAAAATGATTACTCGTATCCAAGTAAATTTGGGATATTTCTCGTGTTGTAGCCACGCCCACCTATCCTGAAACGGTCGACTGTTTCCGGATTTCCGACTCTCGCCGAAAGTGCGCCACCAAATGACAAAAATGTGAGGAAGTCATACCCCCGAGATGTCATTCAGTATAGTTTTAAACGATACACATTTTTCGGTCAGCGTTTTTTCATTTTTTTGTTGTCCATTTTATTTTTTTTGAGAGAGAGTTTTCAGTTGTTGTGTTGTGTTGAGGGCAGTTGCAGTGAAACGTATAGTCATAGTGTATGTATTCACACGTTTCTAATCGATCCGAAGGTGCGACATCAGTGGACGAACGCCACTTAACGTAAACCTGGCGCAACACTTTTGAAAGAAATAGATTTCGGACCAGCCCCTGATCACCGAGGCGGATTTTAGAAGAGAGAGAGGGACGTCCGGCAAGTGTTCAAATGAGTGACTTTTTGCGATCGTGATTATCGTTTTATCGTTTAGTCCTGTTAGGTAAAAGGTAGCAATAATTTTGACAGTGACACGAAAACGAAACGTCGGACAAACAGGAAATTACACAGCCCTTACACACTTCTAATTGTTTTCATTTTCGAAGGCTAAAAGTTTCTGAATTGTTTGGTGGTTGCTGTTGAATGTCGAATTTACACCTCTGTTCTTTTTTTACCTCCATGCTTGCAGCTTGATCTGCGTAATAATTTATGAAATAAGAATTCATGCTTGGTCGATGTGTTTCCACCAAATGAAGTTTTAATATGATGTTATAATTATGACAATCACGCCATGGATCACGCTAACTCGAACCCACTCTGAATTTATCTGTGTGTCGATCTCGATTATTTTTCTTATCTAATTAAACGCCGCTTTTAACGCACTTGCCCTCGTCGTGACCCGACGCGTTCACCTATTTCAACAAAAAGTCAATTTATTTCCACGCGGTTGTCATTTATTTAGTAACTGTGATTTGTCGTTTTATTAATTATTTTATAGTGATCACTATAGTCTAATGTTTAGAATGTCAAAATATGTTCTCTTTTATTTTAATTTTGAAAGTTTTACTCAGACGATCGATGAAATAAAACAGTGTAGTGACGTGCCTAGTAACCTGCTAAATAACGAGATAATTCCGACGTCAAATTCTATTTTGTTCAGCGACAGTGTACAAACGTGCGCCGGTGTCGGTGACGATCACGGTGACCAGCTACACCAGAACGGACATACTTCGCATCTAACTCAATCCCATGCAACAAAAATTGATACTATGTGTTCATTATGGTCCATTCTTCCTCGACAAACAAGTACATAAGTGACAATATAGTCAAAGACGAGAAAACTGCACAAGAAATTTGCCTTATTTACACGTATCGGCAATGCAAGCTGCCATGCGACTTCCCCTTCTGACGTCACAAGGGGAATTTCTGTATTTAAATGAGAAGCTAATGAAGGAGCTTCGTTTTAAAATACACAAAAATAAAGTTTCCGTAGACTGAGTTTAAAACACATTTTTTCACTTAAAAAAATAATTCATGCTTTTAAAGACATAAAAATTAATAATATTTGTGTATCAATTGATAATTTTAGGCATGAAAATAGCAGCCATTTCACAGGCACTTTAAGGTTTAATTCTAGATATATTAAAGAATATGAGAAAAAAATGCTGAAAAATTTGGGCGAGAAAGTCTGCTGATGAAAAAGTTAAGAAGAGTGATGAAATAGCAATCAAAAAATTCTGAAGATCACAATAACTCATTTTATGAACAGACATGAAATAAACATTCAACTAACCCTGGCCTCCAAGGATTCCTGATGACTTGACAACCATTTCCAACTTTTTGTCCCATGTAAATGTACGAATATAATCTAAAATGGCAGAGGAAAATAACACATTTGTTTTAATAAATGAAAATATTCGATAACTAACCCAATCAGAAGAAAACAAGTCACATCAGCGAAGAACACGAATGAACCAAGGAAGGTTGCTAGCTTTATACATTGAAAAAAGAATTTGAGCAATTTGAAATGTATATTTCTTGCTGTACTGTATTACACATTGTCACCCTCTACTACCCAGCATTCAATCATAACATGTTTCTCATGCCAAACTATTTCCATAGCAACAGGAAGAATCTGACTATAAAAATACCAATGAAGAGTTGGTGAGCAGCTGTGATACTATTGAGAAGACAAAAATCCAGTGCCAATTTGTTTGTTTGTATTTCAGCTTGAATACAGAAAGTGCACAAGCAATAAATTGACTTCAAGCAATGCCCATATATGGTCTGATGATGCGGCGACACATGGTATCGATTTACCAATCAGAATGTGCAGGTTCAGCAGTCTATGGTATTATAACTACAAATAATCAAAAAAATTAAAGTTACAGAAATATTTGCGAGACAATATTGGCAGCACATTCTTACCTATGATTCCAACAACCAATTCTTTCCTGGTTTCATCAATTCCAACGAGTAAGGAGTAATCCATCACGAGATGGCTAGATAGGAACTGTGAGTCATTGTAAATAGCGACTGTCAAAACAGTCTTGGAGTGTGTTCTTATGTACAGTGGAGTGTCTACAACATCTGGGAAAAGAAAAAGATTATTTTTGAAAAAAACAACAAAAGCAACAGCATACCAGTTTCCTCTTTTTAACAAAAATTCACAAAATAGTCCCATTTATGGTCTGCACTTTCCTGCAGAAGATTGGGTCAAAAATAGCCAAATTTTTTGAGTAAAAACTGAAAATTTACCCAAATTCTGTCTGTTTGCTCCAAAATTAGGGCTGATTACCAGAAATATTGAAGAATATAAGAAATAAGTGGATACAAATTTTTGGGCAGGAAAGTGTGGTGGTGAAATTGTTGCAAGCATACACCATATTGAATACAGATATGCATGCATAGGGAAGAACATGTGATACACAAGTTAGCAGTCTCTATTGATTAATTTAAATCAGCATTTTTGCATTTATTTTGTCAATTTTTCCCGTGTTTTTTGAACTATGGAATACTAAGCCAAAATGACTTTTGTGGTACCAAATAGGTAAACTTTTAGGATGTTCATGAATCAACAAAATTCATTTTGCAACTGTATAAATGCCTTGTTACATGACATATCAACATCAGATTAAAATAATTTCAGCTCAATAATACTGTAAAATGACTAATTTTCACTGGGTTTAAATTTCACTGATTTACCATTTCGGGCATATTCAGTGGGTTTTAAATTCACGGTTTCGTCATTTAGATAATGTGTTCTATGCTAAATTTTACATATTCACTGTGTTTTAATTTAGCGCATTTTTCCAGTCAGCGAAATAAGCTAAATTAAAACCCAGTGAATAATTACCCCCTTTACAGTACACTGATTCAAAAGACATAGTTTTCCATGAACTAAATATTATGGTTATGGTCACCTTAATTTGTTTTCAACCTTAATAAAGTAAACTTCTACAGGGAGTAGGCATAAATGAGTGGATAAATTAACTGGCACATGGCCATTGAACAAATATTCAAGCTACAAGTGTAAATTATGGCTTTGCTCATATTTCATCAGTATCCTGGTTTATAGCTATTAAAGGAAATTCCTCAAGCATGCACACTTCTCTTACAGTCAAATGAATCAGACACTGAATGAATATCAAGTTTAATGCTTACATTTCAGTAAATTTTCATCTAATAGCACCAGATCTTCAGTCTCTCCTCCCGACACATCGACATGACGGTTACGCATTGAGCCTTTCAAGTCAAAGACCTGTGACATCTTACGATCGTAAAACAGATTCTCCATCACCAACAGATCTTGTTTCATGGTGCCGTTAGTTTGTGAATTCCGGAAGCCAACTCGATAAACCCCAAGAATCTTTGCCAATGCTGTTGGTCTCTGCAAACAAATTCACATAATATTATTTAAATAAATATTATTTAGCGTAATAGATAACTCTTGTACGGAGTTGAATTTTAAAAACAGTATCATATTGTGTCCATCTTTTGCTGAAAAGGGCAAGAATCATGAAATATGGACACAGAATGAAACCAACATTTACAGTGAATTTTGCCACAGTAGCATCCGTTTGTAAATAAATCTGAATTTGTGGCATAATCACCTGGAGGGGAAGGGGGATTGAACCATTTTTTGATATTCCAATATTAACTAGCGTGGTAACCATTCTAATGTTTGGTTGGTTCTCTCTCACAATAGTTTGAAAATGATACCTCGATTTTGCTCATTGACCACGTAAATTCATTCCAACACCATGAAGAGTGAAGTGGTTACACTTTCGTTTTTGTCGCAACTATCAGTTGATGCAGGAGGTGCGAAGAACGTAAAAATGCCATCTGCTGATTAGCAGCTATATTTACCAGTCAATCAATGTGACGGCCATGCACTGGCCACGGTGATGTAATCTAGGCACCATTTTCAGACTATTGAGAAGAGGGTCACACACCACAAACAATTGAACAAAACAATCATTGGTAAGCAATGTATTAATTGTTGACTCACAGCATGGACAAATCATGTGAGAATGACATCCATCATGTCTTACCTTTTCCTCACAAGCCGTCTTGATGTACTGAAAATAATGGGGTGCAAACTCTGTAAAGGAATTCACTTCTAATCGAGACATCTGCTTTAAAATAAAACGATCATCTGAAAAGAAAAGATGAACTTGAATTAAAACTTTTACAACAAACAAATTCATTAATTTTGTTCAAATTTTGATTTAAGAACTGTAGCCATGGCAATTATCGTATATAATTTCATACAAAACTGACAAAAAAACATATACAAACTAAGAAACATTAAGGCCCTCAAAGGCTACAGTGAGAAAACATCAAAATTACAATTGTACAAGCAATATACGCAAGAATCAATATTTGTTTTTAATTTAAGCGATACCAATTTAAACTGGAAGTCACACACACACACACACTGGAAACAATTTTTTACCTGTTGTTTTACAGAAGGATGATCCTGACTTTCCGCCTCTTGCCATCCACTGAAAACACTGGGATAAAGATCGAATGTATGCCTCCTCTCCTGCCGGGAAGATTAACTTGCGTAACTGTTGGAACTGCTCAGCAAAATAAACCCGACAGTAATACTTGGCAGCGTTGTCAGAGAATTGTAACTCAATATGTGGATTAGGTGGATGGTGGGGGTTGTTTGATTTTTCCTCTCTGTGACTAAAACCAAAGT